CCTGCTTGTCCATGGCTATGTCTTACAGGACATAGATGGGAGACCCTCAATAGGGTATGAGAAATGGCCTTCTTCAGTGCAAGCCGAGATCCTCTGTGCTCTCTGAAACACATCAAATGTGGGTGATGGGGCATTCCTCAGGGAAAGGCTGTTGGCTAACTGATGCCCATCTGATGTGCAGGAGAACGTGCTGCAGAGGGTCCTGCAGCTGCCAGTGGTGAGCTCAACCTGCGAGAGCCTCCAGCGGACCTACACCAGCACCAAGGAGGCCCACCCGCTGATGGCCTCGGTGTGTGAGGTGTACGAGCGGGGCGTGCAGGGCGCCGGCGCCTTGGCCATGTGGGGCATGGAGCCCGTGGTGCGCAGGCTGGAGCCGCAGTGTGAGTGCCAGTGCCGGGGGGGCATGGCAGGGGTGCCCACCAGAGCCTCCCTTGGTGAGACAGTGATGGCACGAGCGTGTGCCTGGAGAGCCCAAGGTACTTTTCTTACCGTGCTTTTGCCCAAGGTAGTCGCTGTGGCCAACAACCTGGCTTGCCGTGGCTTGGACCACCTGGAGGAGAAGATCCCTGCCCTGCAGTATCCAGTTGATAAGGTAAGTCATGGGCAGGGCGATCTGGAACCCCCGCTCCCACTGCAGAGCCCACAGCACATCTTCTCTGGTCTTGTTTCTGAATGGTGAGGGGCTGCTGGGTGGAAAACAAGGCAGCCTAAGTGAAGGCTCCCAGATACAGATCAAAAATGTCCTGTGTCCCATCCCTGCCAGCTACCTCCAGCCCAGGCAGGAGAGAGCTGCTATGCCCCTCTCAGAGCTGTTTACTGGCATGGCTATGGCTGGGATCCCTGTGGTTCCCCCAGCTGTCCCATGCCACCCCAAGCTCACCAGCAGGGCTGTTCTCCATCTCTCTGCTGGCAGCTTGCATCTGAACTGAAGGACACCATCTCCTGCCCCCTCCAAAGTGCCAAAAGTACCATTGGCAGCTCCATGGATAAGATCATAGAGCTGGCAGCGGAGGGCTACGAGGCCACCAAGAGCACAGTGGAAACGACGGCAAAGTACACGAGGAAGAACTCGGTGACCCAGATGGCAGCTGCGGGGGTTGACACAGCCCTGGGAGGGCTGGAGAAGTTGATGGAGTACCTGCTGCCAGAGGAGGATGAAGAAGCAGGTAGTCCTGATGCCTAAATCCCCTCTGAGGTGTCTGGTGATGGCTGGCTTGGCAGCTCCTCACCTGTGGAGTGCATGAGGCAGGAGGCAGCCCCCGGATTTTGGTGTAGGGCTGCCTCAGAGGGTTGTCCCATCGGCTTGTAATCTTTCCACCATTCTTCTGCCTGTGCTCTTCTGCCTTTTAGATCAGAAGCCCAAAAAGAAACAGCAGTCAACAGCAAAGGTCTCCCAGCAGCAGGCCAGCACTGCCAGCACTGCCAGTGCTCCCAGTGCTCCCAGTGCTCCCAGTGCTCCCAGCACACTCAGTGCACCCAGCACTCCCAGTTCTCCCAGCACCCTGGGCCGGATTGGTGCCTTGGTTAGCTCTGTCTCCCACCGTGCTTACCAGCAAACCACCCAAAGCCTCCAGCGTGCCAAAACCAAAGGGCAGGAGCTGGCCACCTGGATCCCCATCGTGGTGAGTGCCAAATCCCACCTGCTGGGTTTCTGCACCCCATACCCTCTTTGGGGCTAATTTTCACATGAGACATTGCAGGCAGCTTGGAGGAAGTCCAAGCGCAGAGTATGTTTCTCCTGCGCAGCAGGACAAGGTGGGGCCATTGGTTCCTGTGTGATGTTCACACACAACCATGTACCACATCAGTGGGACAAGTTATTTTTAGCAGACTCCCAGTGTATAATTGTTGATTTATGGCATTGCCATAACATCCTTCCTAAAGCAAAAAGCCCCTCTAGAGACCCAGAGGGGATGAGGAGACAGAGGCCCCTCTCCCACCCTGTGCTGCAGTGGGAACCCCTTCCCTGGCCTGTCCCAAAATCCCAGAGCTCCCATCTGCCATTGGGGTTTCTCCCCGGGTGCACAAATGAACTCCCTGCTCCCTGTGCACCCCAAGGCCCCCGAAAAATCCTCAGGCTAAGCAGGATGGAGCGGATGGGACCTGCCAGCTCCCTCTGAGAGACGGCTTTTTGCTGCTCTTCCAGGGCAGCCTGGCCAAGCCGAGCACACCCGCAGCGCCGCCGGCCCGCAGTGACGGGCAGAGCAGCACGGGCGGCTGGCTGAGCCGGCGGCAGAGCAAGGCACCGGAGCAGAAGCAGGAGAAGGCAGGGAAGAAAGACAACAACCACAGCAAGGTATGGAGAAAAGGAGGGCAGTGAGCTAGGGATACCCCAAAGCATCCTCCTACCCATGGACTGTGCCAGCATGGAGGCTGTTTCCCCCACACCCTTGGGGACCAGGCCCCCATCCCTGCTGAACCCTGAACTGCAGCTTGGAGGAGATGAGTTGGGGGCTTGGCAGGAGGGCAGTCCCAGCAGTCCTCTTCCCTGATTCCCCAAAGCTGGGGGCTGTGGGCAGCCTCTGTGCCAGGCAGGGTCACGCTGTCTTGTATGTTCAAGACTCCTTTGGAGCTGTGGGGTGTCAGCACAGAGCTCACAACTGAGCCCTAGAACACTCCTGAAACCCCCCACCCCCCCACCGTGGTCCCAGCAGCAAGGGGTGGTGTGAGCTGGTGGGGCTGGGAACAGTCTCCGGCACTGGCTCCACTGGGACATAGGGACGGGAAGCGGCAGGTTGGGGTCACTGCCCTTCGCCTCTGCCTGCAGCGGAAGCACAGCCTGGAGCAGAGGGTCCCCGGGGGCCTGGAGTGGGGGGAGCTGGTGGGGACAGGGAGCGACCCTGCTGCAAAGGGCTGCAGTGGCTCTTCCAGAGCAGTGAGCTGAAAGCACTCAGGCTTCGAGCTGTGAAGGGGAAGGGGAGCCCAGGGCCAGCCCGTCCCATCCGAAGGGGCCGGTGGGGAAGGGGCCAGGATCGAGAGCTGAGCTGGTTTCTCTTGGCAGGCAGGGGAGGACCCTGGGCTGGTGGGCAGCGTGGCTCACAACCTGCAAAGCGCCTGTGCCTCCGGCATCTCCACCGTGAAGAAGGTCCCAGCCGTGGCCTGGGATGCGGCAGAGGGGTTGATCCTCTTCACCCCTCGCAGGCTGTCCAGGGCCATGGAAACAGTGGATGCTCTCGGGGGGACCCTCGTCAGTGCCCCTAAGCATCTGCTGGGCACCCTGTACAGCTTCGTGCCGGTGAGTTTGTCCCCAGCCAGGTCCTGTCCGTCTCCAGCAAACCCCATTTTTTCCAGCCTCCTCCCATGAGCATCTCATAGCTCCAGGAGGTACCAGAGTGGGGAGATGGGGTGCTGTGAGGACATCTCAGTCCCACCCTCCTCCTGAAGCATCCCCCAAGCTGTGACAGTAGTTCCCCAATAGGTTGGACAGTGGTCGCACCTTCACACAGTTCATTTCCAAGCCAGGGTGTTACCACACATTTCTGGGAAGGTGCAAGTTCAGGTTGAGACTATGTCCCCTCTTCTTTACCCCACCCTGTTGCTCCCCTGGGATCATTTCTCCACCACAGCTGCTCAGGGGTTGCCCCTCTGGGGGCATACTGGCTTATCCTGAGGTTCTCCCAGTTTGGGGGGGGGGGGGCTGTGTAGCACAGGTAGGGCAGGGCTGGCAGGTGGGTACAGCCTGGCTGGGTCCTCACCCCACCTCTCAGCTCCGCAGGCAGTCAGTGAAGGAAGCGGAGGCACCCAAGGGCAGCAAGTCTGACCCGGAGAAGACAGAGAAGAAGGAAGAGAAGGAGGACACCAAGGCTGCTGCCCCCTCCGCTGAGGAGAAATCCCAGCTGAGAAGCGACTGGCGGCTGTACCGTGGCCATCACCCCCTCTCCTTCCTGGGGCTCGAGGACCCCCTCTTCCTGCGGCACAACTACTACCGCAGCCCTGCCTTCGAGCCCGAGTACCCCTTCCCACGGAAATCCGCCTTCTCCCCCTACAACAGGCGGGTGAGTGAGGGCTCCTACCGCTTCAGCCCCGAGTCCATGTACAGCCGGGCTTACTATGGCAACCTCTACGCTCCTGTCTTCAAGAAAGACTGAGCCAGTGGGGAGGACAAGCACATCCCAGCCCCCTTCTAATCCCCCCACAGCACGCTTTGCCCAGGCCCCTGCCAGCTGCCCACACGCACCCCTGTGCCAGGACAGGAGCTTTAAGTGGTAGACAGGCCATAGGATGTCTTATTCCAGAGTGCATCAAGGTCAGGGTGAGGTAATAAAGGCAGACAAAAGCCCTGCTGCTGGAAGGAGAAGGTAGGGGGAGGTGGGACCGGAGGGGAGCAGTGAGGCGAAGGAGGTGTGGAAAGAGTGGTGAGACCAGAAAAGAGGAAAAGGGACCAGCCAGGGATAGCACTGGGTTACCCTGGTCCCTGCTGAACAGATAGCATGGACTTATATGGGCTTCACATTGAGAGAGCAGGGAGGACAGCAAAGCCATCAAACATCACCATGGCAAGCCTGGTTCCCCATCCTTCCTCCCTCCATCTCCCCTTGCAGGGCCCATCCCTGGCCACAGATTGCTCCTCCATGGAGGGGCTGAAGATTCCCACTGACCAGCAGGATTCATGAGTAGGAAAGCCCAGGGCATCTCCCTCCCAGCTGGTGGTGGGATAGATGGTGGGGTCAGGAAAATGACTGATGAGAACAGGTGGAGCTCCTGGAGCCCCTCTCCGACAGGATCACCTGGCTTCCCACAACGCCTTGTTGTATTCACTGCAATAATAAACCTTCTACCTGCCATTCACCCCATCTGCTCAGCTGCTTTATGGGAGTGAGACAACAAACCAAGGGAACAGAGTGGGGTGAGACCCCCAAACCAGGGCCAAGGGAGTGGGTGTGGGAAACACCCTCGGGTAGCTGCCACAGGGACAGTGGATGCTCATGCCCAGCACAGTACGTGCTTCTTCCCATGCCCCAAGTATGAATTCACAGCTCCAAGGAGCCAGGGCTTCCTGCCAAAGACAATTTATTGCATTTCCAGAAGAACACAGCAGAGAAATCAAGTGTCCATACAGCACACACAAACCCTTTTCCAACACACTGTTTTCCCAGGGCACGAGGGGAAGGGTTTGGGGAGAGGCAGGAAAAACCTCCCAGCAGCAGAAGGGTTCGGCAATGAGCCCAGACACCCCCTTCCCCACCTCCTTTCCTCCCCAGGGAGAGGCAGCCTTACAGAAGGAGTGGCTTGGGAAGGCCTGTGGTACCATCCCCATCCTGGGAACAAGCCCAGTGCCTGTTTTTTCCCAGGCGCAGCCTGTTGAGCGCTCACTCGCACAAGGGAAAGGGCTGTGATCACTGAAAGGCTGTGGGAGAGAGGACGGCTCAAAAGCAAGGCGGGTGGGATGGGAGGCATCAGCCCTCACCAAGGACCTCCAGGGTCAGCCGGAGCCGTGGTCTCTGGGACACGCTGGCACAGTGATACACACGTGGGAACTGCCAGTGCCTCCCGGTGGAGAAACCCCCACCTTCCAGCTCATGGGTGCTCCAGGGTTACTGGAGAGGATCCTGACGAGCGTTAAACAGGAATAAGGATCCCAGGGTAGGAGTGGAGAGACAAGGACTAGGGTGCTGTACAGAAGCAGTGTGTCACCTCTGCTCACCGACAGCCTGGGTAGCTCCTGCTGCAGGAGCTGGGGATGCTGCTGCCTGGAGCTGTGGCAAAATCACCCAGTGGTTTCCAGTGTTGGAGGATAGAAAGAATAAGCAGGAGGCACCTAAAAAGCTGGTACAGAAGAGAGTAGAGATTCTGTCCCGTCACAGAGCCAAGGGTAATGCATTCAGTCCTTGGCTGCATTGACTGTGTATGGCAGGACACCCAGACCTGACACTAGGAGGACAGCAAGGAACCCATCATACTTATGGAAAGACTCACACCACCTCCATGGGAGGAGGAGGCCTGGCCCAGCTGGGCAGCACAGAGAGCAGCAACATCCACGCTGTAGCTCAGAGGGAGTCCGTTCGTTTGCGGGTAAACACAGCCGACATGGTCTTGACAATGCCACGGATCCCTGTACCCTTTTTCAGTGCCAGTTTGGTGTCTGGGATGCGCTTGGCCAGTCCATGGAAGACCATGAGAGCCCCATGATAAGCCTCAGCTGCAGAGACCTCATAGAAACCACAGTCCAAAGAGAGGGCGAGGAGCCGACCCTCCTCGCTGGTCACCACCCGCTGGTGGTGCAGGTCCCGTTTGTTGCCCACAATGACGATGGGCACCTTCTCCTGGCTCTGACCCTCCTTGGCTGCCTTGATGAACTGGATTTTAAGGGGCAGGATGTTGAAACTGGCACGGTCACAGATACTGTAGACCAGGACAAAGCTGTCTGCCCACTGGATTCGCTTCTCCTCTGAGGAGCCATCCTCTGTCTGCTCCTGGGGAAAGAGAAAAGGAAGGGCATTTTTATCTGGCTCCCTCCCTCCACACCTACCTGCTAGAAGAGGGTGCAGCAATCCTAAGCCTAACAAACAGCAAAAGGGGAGAGAGAAAGAGGAGTACTGAGAAAGGCAGAGCAGCACCTGGCAGACCTCACCAAGGGGGACAATTTGGCCTTCAGCATCACTGTCCTTACCTCCTCACCCAGCTGCCAAGCACTGCAGGCTGCAGGTGAAAACAGCATGGGGACCTCAGAGCAGCATTTCCATTTCTCTAGCACAGTCCTGTCCTCACTCTGGGCTGGCAGTATTAGTGCTTCAGCTCCAATGTCCTCAGTCACAGGACCATGGGCTACAGTGACTATTGCTACCCTGCCAGCAATGCTGCTGCCCCGTGCTCGGCAGGTGAGAAGGGTTTGGTCACCTCTGATGTGTGAGCTTTGCTCAGCTAGAGCTCCCAGCCTGTGGTTTTCCATAGGTAACTTTCAGTAAAACATTATTTGTCCCTGGGGTGGAAATGGGTGACAGGAGTGGAGTCCTCTCACCTGAGAATTGGGGGCATCCCAGATGTGGAAGAGAATTTCTCGTCCATCCACCGTCACGTTGTGGCTGTAGATGAATTCTGCCCCCCCCCCAAAAAAAAAAGTTATCCTCATGGTATCACCAGCTGCCACCCAGGACCTTTTGCACCCCAGAGAATCAGTTCTGGAGCAAAGAGATGGTTCAGTGAATAAATACAACCACTAAGCCTCTGGGAGCAGGCAAAGGCTCTGGAGAAAGGCAGAAGAGGATGGTCAGGAAGGAAATCCTGTGGGCAGAAGCAGGGCTGCCTCCTGACCCCAGTCCCTAATGGGAACCTGGCCTGGCACTCACCCATGTCTCCGTACTCCCCGATAAAGCGCCGGGTCAGGAAACGCACAGTCAGAGCTGCAGAGGGAAAGATAAGAATCACCAGAATAACCCTAAACCAGAAGAATTCTCCTTTCTAGATCCAGAGCAGAGTCTGGCACTATCCCTCTGTAAACTCCCAACAGCATGAACGACCTCTGTTTTTCCCTCGGCCACCAGCAGTCTGCGAGCGGAGCAGAGGCACAGCATGACCCCACCGCATCAGCAAACTGCAGCTCAGTGGAAAATACCTTCTCCTGTCCCTCACCCGATACCTACAAGGTTGTGCTCACCTTCCCCAGCTCAAATCACAAGGGCTCAGCTCCATCTCACCAGTTTGCTCCACAGGCTGCTCCCTGCAGCTGGTCCTCCAAACACTGCTGCAGTTTGCAGCCTGGGAACCCCATGCTCCCAGCTCACCTGATTTCCCCACATTGTCCGCTCCCATCACAAGGACATTTGCTTCCATCTTCAGGGCAGTGGGGCCAGGCACCTCCATGAGGGCAGGGTGGTCGGGGGTGAAGCTGGTGCTCCGGCGCAGAGGCAGCCGGAGCCCCATTCCGAGCGTGGCCGTGGCTCTCCAGCAGTCCCAGCAGTGTGTGTACAACTCCTCTCGGCACAGCCGACAGTCCAGTGCTTCCCACGGCACCCAGGGGACCCGCGAGGACCATACCCCTCCCCGCAGCCGCAGGGGCGGTGCAGAGGGAACTGCAGGCAGCCGGATGAAAAACTTTGTCATCGCTCAGACTGTCCTGAACATACGTCAGTGCCTGGAGCCGGCCGTGCCAGCCCCCAGCGCAGCGGGCGGCCGGGAAGCTCCGGCTGTCTGCACCAGCTGCTCCGCAAACTGCATCCCAGGAGGTGCCCACGCCTGCACCTCGAGCACTTTGCCCCTTGGCAGCGCCACGTATCCCCTTGTCCCTTCCCCATGGCGACCGTGGGAATGCCCGCCAGAAGTGGAGGAGTGTCTGACAAGTGCTGGGGAGTCTCGTCAGGGACGGAGCATCTCATGAGAGATGGAGCCCCTTGTAAGTGACTCTCCAGCATCCCACGGGGTTGGGGAACATTGTTTCACGAGAGATGAAGCATCTCACGACTGACGGAGCGTGGTCCCACACTTGATGAAGCACCGCACGAGGGATGGAGACCCTTGTGAGTGATGGAGCATCCTACGAATGACGGAGCGTCTCCCGAGTGATGGAGCATCTCTGGAGCGACTGAGCTCGTCGGGAGCACCCACCGCTTGCCTGGACCCGCCGCACAGCCCCCGCAGCCCTCCCGCATCCCCCGTTCCCCCCCGGCCGCTCTCTCCCGGGTGCTGCCCGGGGGTTGGCGAGGACCAGCCTCCGACCCCGCAGCATCCTCCCTTCCCTCTCTCCCTCCCTCCCTCCTTCCCCTGCCCGGGCGGAGCCTTTGACGCCATCGCGGGGCGCCCGGCGCGGCCATGGCGGCGGAGGGGGCTGCGGTGCGGGTGGCGGTGCGAGTGCGGCCGCTGCTGCCCCGGGAGGCGCTGCGGGGGCACCGGCCCTGCCTGCGGGGCGATGCCGCCACCGGCGAGGTGTCGCTGGGCCGCCGCCGGTTCCGCTTCGCCGCCGTGCTGCCCGAGGCGGCGGGGCAGGCGGCCGTGTACCGGGCCTGCGTCCAGCCGCTGCTGCGCGCCTTCTTCCGCGGCTTCAACGCCACCGTCTTCGCCTACGGGCAGACGGGCTCCGGCAAGACCTACACCATCGGGGAGGCCAGCGTCGGTGAGTCGCGCCGGGACCGGCAGCGCCGCGCCCGCCAGCATCCCTGTTCCACCAGCATCCCTGCTCCGCCAGCATCCCTGCTCCGTCAGCATCCCTGTTCCTCCAGCATCCTTGTTCCTCCAGCATTCCCACCACTCCCAGCTCTCCCCACCAGTCCTGCACTGCACCTTCTTCCATCCCCACCTCCTTCCATCCCCAGCCAAGCCACCAACACCACCATCATCCCAGCCATCTCTCCCAACCCTCCAGCCTTGCCATCCACCCCCATTTCAGCACCTGTGCTCTCTATCCAAACCCTACAGCATCATCTCCATCACTTTCAGCATCACTGTCCTAACCAACCCTTCCACCCTGTCAGCCCCCACCAGCCCAACCCCACTCCTGTACCACCCCTCCCCATCCTTTCCCTCCAGCAGCCTTTCTTTCTCGCCACCCATGCTGCTGTAACCACCCCCAAGGAAACCACCTTTGAGATCACAGCATGTAGGGTTTCTCCTTTTCCACTTCATGACAAGTGAGAGGACCTGGTCCTCCACCTGCTCTGGAAGTGGTGGTGATCTTCCTAGGTCCTGAAATAAACCTGAAGGAGAGTGAGGTTTGCAGGGGTTAATCCTGTTAGTTTGTTTATGTGAAGAAATCGGGGAAAGAGAAAAACTTTTCGTCCTGGTTTAATGGCATTGTGATCTCTTACAGAGGACATACAGTAAATGTTTCAGTCAGCTTTAGTTAATTGCATAGTTTGTAAACATTGAATTGTTTCCATACTTTCAGTCTACCTCTGTTTTCAGTTTCCCGGTTTAGACTATCATTGCACTAAATTTGGGAATCACCTTTTTACACAGCTGTTGGAGAAAAAAGGAAAACCATTTTAAACTCAGACAGCAGAGTGCTGCTTGCAGGCTGCAAGCACAAAAAAAAAACTTCTCAGAGAGGGGAAAAGTTGTGGAGTCATGCTGGCTTCAAAGGACAGCACACTGTAGCTGCAGACATGGTGTTTGCTACGTGCTAAAATGCCAAACAGCATTCTTGAGCCTTCTTGAGGAAGGACTGGAAATGAGCAGCTTTGCTGGAATCCAGCACAGCAGTGGGATAGGATTTGCCCAAAGGTCCTGTAGGATGTTTAACCCGGGCTGTGAGGGCTGAGCTGTGGGAGGGTTGTGAGGTTGCTCCTTTCCAGCTGACGTACGCTGCTGGCAGGCTTCTGTCCACAGCTCTGTCCCCAGACATTCCCTGCTCCCTGTGACCCTGTGCCTCTCTTTGCCAGCTTCCATCAACGAAGATGAGCAGGGCATCATCCCACGAGCCATGGCTGAGGCCTTCAGGCTCATTGATGAGAACGACCTGATCGACTACACAGTACGAGTGTCCTACCTGGAAGTGTACAAGGAGGAGTTTCGGGACTTGCTGCAGGTGGATACAGCCAGCAAAGACATCCAGATCCGGGAGGATGACAAGGGGAACATTGGTATGTGTAGCTGCTCACGGGCTCCTTTTCTCCCCATGTCAGAGGCCAGAGCTGGGTTATCTATCTCTGAAGACAGAGCCAGGTCTTCTCCCTCCATCCCTTTGTCCATCTCCTGCAGCAGATTGCTGTGCTTTGTGCTGAAAGCCAGTCTATGCACGGCACAGTATGAGCAGGGTGACAGAACCAGGCATGCAGAGGAGCTGCAACCTTGGGCAGCCCGTCCCTCCCAAACACAGCTCCCTTTGCTTTGCAGTGCTCTGCGGCGTGAAGGAGTCAGAAGTGGAAGGGCTGGACGAGGTGCTGAGCCTGCTGGAGATGGGGAACACAGCCAAGCACACGGGAGCTACCCACATCAACAGGCAGTCGAGCCGCTCGCACACCATTTTCACGGTGACCATGGAGCAGCGGCGTGGGGCTGGACGCCTCCCCCTGCACCACCGCCCGCCCTCCGTCCCCGCCGCGGGACAGGTCCTGGTCTCCAAGTTTCACTTTGTGGACCTGGCAGGCTCAGAGCGAATTGTGAAGACAGGAAACACAGGGGAGAGACTGAAGGAGAGTATCCAGATCAACTGTGGCCTCCTGGCCTTGGGCAATGTCATCAGTGCCTTGGGAGATCCTCGGAGAAAGACCACGCACATCCCATACAGGGACTCCAAAATCACCAGGTACCGCTGGGACCAGGACACCCCATGTCTTATGGGCTCATTTTGCAGGTCTACCCTGTCTGCAGGTTTTCATTTAAGGAAGCTTGAGGAGCAACGAGGCCAGGATAGAAATGACAGAGTAGCTCATTGCAGTGCTGGAGAAGACAAGGCTTGTATGAGTCATGCTGCTGAAGCTGAGATGGGGTGTCACTGTGTGTTTTCCTGCGCTTCCTGCCTGGCAGGGAATAAAAAAAGCTTCCCGTAGGCTTGTTTGATGGCCTGCAGTTAGTTCTTAGCTCAAGCAGGTGGCCTTTGCGATCTCTAGCAGGATCCCTTGCAGCACATGCCTAGCTAGCAGTGATCACAGTCAGGGAGCCTCGGGAATTATTCAGATGGAAACTTGCCATGGTGCAAACTGTAAATCCACTCACCTCACTACTGCCAAACCAACTACTGAACAAGAATATCGTTTTCCTTGAGCTTAGCTTCTGAAAAAGGTTGAAAACCTTCTGATTCCTGTGTTATTTTTGTATTTCAGCTGTTATTATCACTGTGCTCTTCCCTAGGATTCTGAAAGACTCTCTGGGAGGGAATGCCCAGACTCTGATGATAGCCTGCGTCAGCCCATCCTCCTCCGATTTTGACGAGAGCCTCAACACACTGAATTACGCCAGCCGGGCTCAGAACATCCAGAACAAGGCGGTGGTGAACTGCCGCAAGGAGACGGAGCACATTGAGGAGCTTCACCTGCAGATAAAGAACCTGCAGAAGGCGCTGGAGCAGCGGCAGCGCTCCGAGACCCGCATCATCAACCGCTCAGGCAGCGCCAAGCGCTGCGCGCCCGACCCCACGGCGCGGCTGCTGGCAGAGTGCGCCCATTACCGCACCTGCACCGACGCCGCGTACCGGCTGCTGATGGAGCTCCAGGAGGACAGTAACCTGACAGTGGAGCAGATCCTGCGGGTCAAGGAGTGGCTGTGCACCGTGGAGAGCGAGAGGAGCGAGCTGACCTCGGCCGGGCTGGACAGCGGCATTGAGAGCACCTCCATGGAGGACCAAAGCGCTGAGGCACAAAGTTCAAAGCTGGCAAAAGCCCAGGTAACAGCTGGGGTGTTGCAGCTCTGAGGTTGGGTTCATCTGGCGGCCGCTGGAGGCAGCAGCCCCAGTGTGGCATGATGGAAGGGTCAGGAGAGGGAGAGGAGAAGAATCCTATCCAAGAGGCCACAGGGAGGCAGAAAGACATGGTCATCCCGGCAGGCAGGAAGAAGTTGGATTCAGCTGCAGCTGAGAGATTTATTTTGCAGGAAAAATCTGGGTCTGCAGAGCTGCTATGCCCTTGCAGAGTCCAGCATGGGAAGGGAAGGGCAAAGGTGGATGCTGATGCTGCCTCTCATGTATTTTGGGGAGCAGGTGAACACCGAGAAGAAATGTGGGTCCATCAAAGATGAGCAGGTGGCCAAACTGCAGAGGCAAGTGGAGCGCCTGGAGGAGGAGAACCGTGATTTCCTGGCTGCCCTGGAGGATGCCATGGAGCAGTATAAGCTGCAGGTATTTCTGGGCTCTGCTCTCTTTGTAGGGACCTGCCCCACTCCTCCCTGTCCTGCCCAGGGAAGCCCAACCCAGCTTTCAGGTTCCTCTGTAGCAGGTCCGAGATCAACATGTATATAACTACATTTTTCTCATTGTTTCCTAGAGTGACAAACTGCAGGAACAGCAGGATAAGATCTCAGAGCTGCATGTGCGCTTGGAGATGGCAATGCCAAACCTGTGTGTGCCAGAACTGCTGGAAAACCTTCACCTGGTGACTGCCAGCCAGAGACCTCACACGGCCCCACTGGATGCTGCCCCATCCCAAGGCCTTGGTGGCGTTCTCTCAGGGCTCCTTCCTGAGCAGAGTGGAAGAGCCCTTTGCAGGAAGGTGAGGCACAAGGCTGTGCCATTGAAGAACTGCTGCCTCTTCATTTGGCTGCTCTCCACTGCAGGAATTGCTTTTTCACTGCTGTTGAACATGACCCTTGTCAGAAGTGTAGTCCAGAGGACTGCACTCCATGTGCAAATCCAGGGAGTTTCACAACTCTGGCAAAAACAGCCCAGCTTCAATAGTGAGGCTTTTACTTTGATGCTTTGGGTGAGTCCCAGATTTGCTCAGTGTCTGAGCAGCAGAAGGCAGGAGGGCAGGAAGCTGGGTCTGGCAACACACCAGTGCTACTGAAAATAGGCTCAACTCCATTTTTTTGCTTCTCTTTGTGTCTAGCAGTGATGCCCAACTGGGAGCTGCTTTTTCTGACACTGGCCCTCATGCAGCATGTTTCCTCTCTTTCCA